CAAAATAAAAGCCTTTGTGGCACTTCTGAGCTATGCAGCCATTTTTAAGTCTAACAGTGAGGATATTGCGTAGATATTTCCCACCGATGGCATGAGCAGATACATTTGTAGAATGGTCACGAATCAGCAAATATTAGATGTATTTTTATCTGTGATCTGGAAATCCTTCTTACAGAAACTTGCGTAAAAAGGACGATCCTCCTGCTGCAATTAGTAGGTTGCCTGGATGGTCACCGATCTTAAAGGATATTCACAATCGCTATCCGCTCAAGCAGTCATTTTCAAATGTACTCGCCAATAAATCCAAAAAAAAAAAAAATAATTCTCCTGTCCTATATGCCTTAAAAACGTAGTTCTTTTGATTTCATTCATGCGTCATTACAAAGTAATAAATACTACTGATGGAAAACAAGAAAGAGTTCTCGACTACAATGAAAGGTGAAATGGATTCAGCTAATGAAAAATGTGCCATATATATTTAGATATCTGTCTACATAGTTCAATTAGAAGTCAAATGTATGCCAATGGCAATATTTTTTAAAACTGCGTAAACGTATAAATTGCAAGGACATGCGAACTTATAACGCTTTGCGCTCAGCCCTGTAAGCTCCGCATGCAAAAGGAAGTTAAAAATTTGGGATTTCACGTGGGGAAACACAATAGCATCCAAAATTGAAACGTGGTAAAATGCTCGAAAAACAAAACCATCATTATACAGTGGCGGGGAAATAAATAGGGATGTGATATTTTAACAAAACAATTTTTATTATTTATGAAAGCATAGGTCATAATCTAACAAAAACCATGTAAGTAAGAATTTTAGAATTAGTATACAAATTTGAAAAATTCAATAAAGTTCTTTAAAAATGTCAAACTTTTTAATGAGAATATTTATCGTTTTAAATTGGAATTTTCTTCCATACAGAGTATTGTTACTATTATACCTGTATATTCGACGAATTTCCTAAATAATTCAGAGCCACATCACTGGATTGTTAAATAGATGCTCCAAATATAATTAATTACAGTAAAAATAACTTTATTGTACAGCATGCACGTATTATAAAGTATTTAGGCATTAGGTTTGTATTTACAAAACTTGCTAAGGCAATCGATCTGTTTTACAACTGAGCTTTTAGCTTGCTAATTTGCAACTGAACTTTGTAGGCGCTATGGCCATGCTTTTGCATACCGGCGCTCGCACTCATCGCAACTCTAGAAAGGTCCTATCGAAGGTTACCGAATATTTCTCCGATCTCCACGGTGTTTATCACACATTCTGTCATTCTTTTGTTGTTCGCCTTGGCCTGTTATTCGTGTTTTGCTTTATGTTCGAAAAACTGTTTGTGTAGGGATAATTACACAACATCATCAAAAAGGAAAAATTTCCAAAAATTAACAGTGAGTTACTACTTCAACGGAATACAAAACTGCATATCTAGATTTTGATTTTTTTGTTTAAATTCTAAATGAAAATTTTGAAACGTTCATGAAAATTTGTTGTAGTTCGTCGAATTTTTATAAATATTGTACAAAATGTGAAATTTTAATTTTAATGGTTTTTATTAAGAAGTGGGCTTTGTTAAAAAAAAAAATTTAACAAAAGAACAATAATTGCCTTTGTTGTTTATGGTCAAAAGAATAATAGCTAAAACTTATTTAAATGTCGCGTCTCTATTTGTTTGTCCCCCATCATAAACGTACTTTCTTCAAAAATCAAACGGAAGATGCAGTACTACATCTGCCCTTAAGGTTTTGCATTGAGTGCTCTATCAGAAAATAGTGATTTGGGATCGTGACAGTTTTGTCCCTTTGTACGTAATTAGAAATTTTTATTTTTTATATTTCCCTATATTTCAAATTAAATTAAAAATCAGGATGCGAAACAATTTCCATTTGCTCCTCGATCATCATATCGCTTGTGTTTTTGTACAGTTTTGTACACAGTCAGAAACAAACTGTAAGATTCACTGTCATTTTCCCCAACAAGAAATGTTTGCTTTTCGTTTGTGACAACTGTAATATAAGTAGTGATGGCACGGTTAATCGAATAACCGATTATAATCGGTTATTTTCATTCGGTTAACGATTTAATTGTATCGAAATTTTCCTTTCGATCAATCGAGCGATTAACCGATTAATTTTAAAAATAATCGAAAAGAAACCATCAAAAATTGACTACTTTACTCACACAATAATGTATGAATCAAAATAAGTTGGGATGTTTTTTACATTCTCGTATTCTGCAAATTTTTTTTAACAATATTTTTGCCAAAAATCGCAACGCAAGCTTAACCGAAGTAGCTACTAAAAAATCACTACGCAGGTATGCACATATATTCATTCGGTCTTGCGCATTTTCTTCCTTTTTATACCAAACATTACCAAACAGAAAAATGCCAATCATCAATGGGCTACAAAACTACATACAGAAAATCCTTCTAAGAAATCTAATTAAAATGCTGGAATTTTTTGTTTATTTTTTTATTTTTACAGGTTTCGATTCATTTCGTTTGTTCTTTCGTCTATATCTACTAAACGACTGTAGTGTACTATCGGCAAAGTGAACTCAGCCATTTTGTTTCTGTATTATACCGAACTGTTGAAGTAATAAGCGAAACGAAATAGCAACGTACAATATAGTTTATTTTCGTACACTGAAAAAATAGCTTTTCTACAAATGCCGCTTTTGGAATGAAAATAGATTTAATTTTTCTTATGAAGAATTCATCGCTGTTTAATAAAAAAAGAAAAATTATTATTTTTTGTAAAAATTTTTTAAATTACATGAAAAAAATTTCTTCATTTAATCAATTTTAATAAAAAGAAAACCAATCATTAAGGTAGCCTAACCGAATCTACGTCACCGTTTGTCAAAAATCTTTCATTTCACTAATTGCTCAAATACACTTTATTCCACCAAACAACGAAAAATATGTAGTATTTACATTCAACCTTCAATCCTTTTCAAACTCATCTAGGTATGTATATTAATCTATATTTCTTGAGCTTTGTTGAGTTCAGTAATTTTAGATATTTAATTTTTCATTCGCTCATATTTGTTTTCATCAGTTTCCCTCGAAAATTCTGATTTTATCAAAGCTCAATTATTAGTTTTTCCACTGACGGGTATATTTTGAAATTTGCGAGATTGAACGCTCATGAAACATATATGTAACGGGTGATTTTTTAAGAGCTTGATAACTTTTTTTTTAAAAAAAACGCATAAAATTTGCAAAATCTCATCGGTTCTTTATTTGAAACGTTAGATTGGTCCATGACATTTACTTTTTGAAGATAATTTCATTTAAATGTTGACCGCGGCTGCGTCTTAGGTGGTCCATTCGGAAAGTCCAATTTTGGGCAACTTTTTCGAGCATTTCGGCCGGAATAGCCCGAATTTCTTCGGAAATGTTGTCTTCCAAAGCTGGAATAGTTGCTGGCTTATTTCTGTAGACTTTAGACTTGACGTAGCCCCACAAAAAATAGTCTAAAGGCGTCAAATCGCATGATCTTGGTGGCCAACTTACCGGTCCATTTCTTGAGATGAATTGTTCTCCGAAGTTTTCCCTCAAAATGGCCATAGAATCGCGAGCTGTGTGGCATGTAGCGCCATCTTGTTGAAACCACATGTCAACCAAGTTCAGTTCTTCCATTTTTGGCAACAAAAAGTTTGTTAGCATCGAACGATAGCGATCGCCATTCACCGTAACGTTGCGTCCAACAGCATCTTTGAAAAAATACGGTCCAATGATTCCACCAGCGTACAAACCACACCAAACAGTGCATTTTTCGGGATGCATGGGCAGTTCTTGAACGGCTTCTGGTTGCTCTTCACTCCAAATGCGGCAATTTTGCTTATTTACGAAGCCATTCAACCAGAAATGAGCCTCATCGCTGAACAAAATTTGTCGAATTGTCGAATTTCGAACCGAACACTGATTTTGGTAATAAAATTCAATGATTTGCAAGCGTTGCTCGTTAGTAAGTCTATTCATGATGAAATTTCAAAGCATACTGAGCATCTTTCTCTTTGACACCATGTCTGAAATCCCACGTGATCTGTCAAATACTAATGCATGAAAATCCTAACCTCAAAAAAATCACCCGTTACATATATAGCAAGCAATGTTGCAGATTCTCCTTTACTCACACTTCACAATTTTTACAACCGAAATTTCTGAATAATAAATCTGATGTGACATTTCATGATTCCAGTTAGACGCCTCACTGTGACAATTTTATGCTGATTTTTATGTCCTATTTTCATATTTTTTTTTTTTTAATTTTACCTTTGCGTTATCTAGTATAAAATGTTGCCACGTGTTGCCGCATTTCGCTAGTGTGGCAAGCCATGGAAAATTAAAAACAAGAAACAGCAAAATGTAAAATTAAAGTCAACACTCACACGTCACAGCATCCGGCAGAAATTGCAAACCATATTGCGGCCATATGTATGAATAGTTTTGAGTGTATCACTGCTATACATTTTTTTTGGCTTTTCAGCAACAGCAACAAGCCATGCCATGTGGATTGTTTGAACTGAACAGCCCACGAACCAACCGGTGAAGTGAACCGCTACTGGAGTCGCAGATAAAAATATGAATAAAATATGGCCAGCCGAGAAAAGCGACACATTTTAGATGGGTAACAGTTGGATTGAAACTGAATTGCAACTATAAGCAAAAGCATGGAGCGCAAAAGAGAGTTTCAGAGCAGGTAGAAAATAAAAATAAAATAAATAAATTATACAAAATAAGCGACACTGTTGTTGTAGTACATAGTTAAATATACATACATACATACATACATAGATATAAGCGAGTGGTATTTTTATCTGTTTTTAATTTTTTCGAGTCAAAAAGCACTGCCACCTGTCTGCTGTAAAATCACCGGATTTTACAAACCCATTTTCTACATACGTACATATACATACTTACATACATACATACATATGTATGTTTTTACACAGAAGAAATTCATCTGTACATCTGACTCACCTGACACTCGTACATGCCATGATCCCGCCGTTGCACAAATTTTATCTGCAATGTCCACATGTTGGAGCCAGGCGCATGCAGTATCGCAAAGCGTTCGTCGTTGGTGTAGAGCTGCGCACCGGACGAAAGGATATGCCAGTCGCGTCGACGTATCCAAGAGATTTGATTCTGTGGCAGCATGAAACAAAAAAAAAAACACAAATAAAATTATTATTATACTATAAATGTACAAATATAGAAAAGAGAAAAAAAATACTCTAGAAAAGGCTGCATAGTTATTATACTAACAACGAAAAAAATTCCATGCAAAGCTTAAAATTAGGTTTGCTTAAATTCGTTGCATGCAGCTGTTAAGCAGTGCGCTAAATTGCGGAATCTTAAAAAAAAAAACAAATAAATTAAAATAATAAAATATTTGCACTACATACATACATATATATGTACATGCATAAAATTAGGTGCAATTATAGTTGCCTTGAAATTTACTGTATGTCAAAATTCTTTCGCGTATCAATAGACATACATATAATTATCAAAAAAAGTAAGTGCATATTTTGTTGTTTATTAGGTTCGTGAAATTCAAGTGAAATTATCTTACAATGAATCGATCAGAGGCTAAGCTTCATCCCGTGCAAAGTTGATATTAAAATCATCAGCTAATACTAATGATAACATTTGATATTTTTCTACATCTGCACGACTAAATAAATAATCTATATATAAATACGCCACAAGAAAATTTTGCAATCCCTTTTTCGAAGGCATTGTTCGCTCGATTTCATTGAAGCATACACCGATTTAAAGGATATAACTTCCTCGAATCCAGAAATGTTAATCCCGATACATAGCATAGTGGCATCTGACATATAGACTAAAATGTGAAAACCACTATATCTCTAAAACCAATTATGCTGGGGAACTGAAACTTAGCACAGATGCATAGATTGCAAATACCCTACTTACGGTGAAAAATGGTAGGTACTGGGAAAGTGGGCGTGGCACTTCCTATACAAACTGAAATTCTCATATCGCTTATCTCTGGAACCGCTTATGCTAACGTCCTGAAATTTGACACAGCGTAGAGTGGTAGATTTTGCAAAGGGGGGTGTGGCACCGCCCATACAAACTGAAATTCTCATATCGCTTATCTCTGGAACCGCTTATGCTAACGTCCTGAAATTTGACATAGCAACATATATTGTCAATACCGTACTTATGGCGAAGAGTGATTGATTTTGGAAAAGGGGCATGGCACCGCCCATACGAACTGAAATTCTCTATCTCTGGAACGACTTATTATAAGATCTTGGAATTTTATACACCTACATTTATACACTTACAAAATCGCAAGAATCAATCAATTGGGAACAATTTTCTCCCAGATTTTGAAATCGCATTGAATGGTTGTTATTTTGTGAAAGAGCTTTTAGAAGGATCAGTGTGTTTGTCTTCCGATAGGTGGCGCAGGGGTTGAGAGCTATCCTAAAAAATCAGATTTATTTCTGTTAGAACACATATTAGTAACATAAAATTTGATATAACTTGGTAGCCCAATCGTGTGATGAAAATATATTGGGCTATGGCCCAGTCTTTATTTAAACCCCTTTTGAAACCGCCGTTAGAGAAGGAAATATTATCTTTTGTTGTAAACCTTCAAGATACTTTCTCAACCGTTAACGATTCTGATGAAAAAAAGAAAGAGTTTATCTAGATGTGGGCAATTTAGTTTTTAACATCCAAGAGGCTCTCAGACAAATTTATGTATTCGAAAAACATATTTAGTTTAATTTGGTGTACGTTTGACATATGTTTTAGTCAGTGATGAACATCTCATCTATAAATAAATACAAATACATATTCATATTTTTTATAAATGAAAATCGAGATTCCTTTTTCGGTCTTATTTCAAAAGCTACTGAAGAAATTTGGAGGAGGCTTGGTAGAATTAGCACTAATCAATCTGGTATTAACGTTCACAATTCGATTTTAAGTTTCCCTGTAAATTCGCTATAAATTATGCTGGTGGACTTCAAAATAGTAATTCGCATAAAGGAGTTAGAGTATTGGTGACAGGTAAAATTCAAAATTGTATGAAAAAAGATGTCGAATTTCGACATCTGGGCGACACTAGTAAATATAAAACTATTACTCACTTTAGATAATATTTATTTTATTGCTTGGAAAAATAAAGACAACTGCAATTAAAATTTTACACTCGCCTTTAGAAAATAACGATAAGTACTTTGATTTCAATATCGATAACAGTACCGATAAATATATCAATAGAAATATCGATAAAAATATATCAATAGCAATACCAATAAAAATATCGATAAACATATCGTTAAAAGTATCGATTATTATATTGTTAATATTAATCGATCGATAAATATATCAATAAAAAGCTCGATTATTGGGGCGTATTCCCGTTTTCGTACGAATCGAAAATTAGAAATCTTTCTATAAAAAACATCGATGATTGTGTCGATAACATTATGAATAAATATGTCGCTGACATTGCCGGTATTTTTATCGATAAATAAAAGGCTTGCAAAATCGACAAATTTATTGATAAATCGTCATCATCAACAAGATAAACAAATATAACTAAAATTCCTCTGTGAGTTTAGGTAAGGTGTGGTGAGTTCAGGTATGGTGAGTTAAGTTTTCGTGAATTTAAGTCTCCGTTTTTCCGCCTTAATCAGTTTCTTCATATTTACGTTGTTCACATGTTCCATTGCAATTTATCCAGGAGTTATCCCGGATTAGTCGACTGTTTTGCGGAGTATGTAGGTACATACTTACAAATACCCACATTTATTTAGTGCATATTTTGTTTTTTTTTTTGTTTTTTGAAACTTTTCATTAAACCATTTTTGAAATTACTTTCATCTTTCAATGAAAACGTTAGCTGATACGTTCTCCACTTAGCAGCTCACTGGCTCGCAAGGTGATTGAACCCAGCTTAACGATTTTTCATCAAAATTCCATGTTAAAAGCTTTTCACATACTCAGGAAATTTTGCCATACGTTAGGATATGTAATGCTGGAGCGGCATGTGTATGTGTGTGTATGCCCCTAACGGACGATCGAATTTTTATGTTCGACCCTTTTAAGCCATCAATATTTCAAAGAAAATAAATGAACGGTGACATTGTTTAAGTGAGCAGGTTTCACAATTCTCGCAGCCGGTTTTCCGTTTTCTCTTCTGGAAGAGCCTACTGACCAGCGGCGTAGATTCCGAATATATTTTCATTCGTTACTTACTCAGGGCAGGTGCATAAATGCTGTTGTGTTTGTATCCTTTGAGACATAGTAAATGTGCGAGTATGTAGACTTTAGTGATTTGCTTTAGCATAGGGCATATGTTAACATAAACATACATATTTGTATAAGTTATTTTTAAGTTTGGCACGTTGTGGGCGTAGGTATATTCTGCCTCATTGCTGACCTGTTCATGGGCTAATTTCGATGTACCAAAAAAAAAAAAACTGACATGAGTTCATTATTGTCGAGCCTAATATGTCATGTTTTATTTGTTTCCTTGCATATTTTTCCTAAGTTTCACATTTTATATGTAATCTACTTTAAATGTCGCCTAATTATGACATATGTAGCTGTTGAAATATTTGTTTGCCTTTATACAGAATTTGTCCCTTTTATTTCTTAGTTCCATTTTCGAACTGACCTGCATACATTTCGTAAGGTGACACATAAACATACACACACATAAACATAATAATATTTCTTCATGTATCTTTATCTATACTTTTATCGGTATCTTCATCCTCATCTTTTTCTTAATATCCATTTTTATCTTTATGTATATAATTTTCTTCATCTACATACATTAACTCCGTTCCAACAATTTTCGTGTAAAATCCGGTAAAAATGTGTCAAAAAGCATAATTACTCTCTGAAATGAGAGTAAAAAGTGAGTAACAACAAAAAACAACGGGAACAAAAAAAAAAGCTGTAAAAATGTCCACCAGTGATCGCTTGACACTTTTCGCAACACCAGGGGTGGGAAAGGCCGAGGCCGGAAATTCTAAATGCTTCAAAGAGTCACAAAAAGAAAACAACAAACACAAAAATTTTATTTTTAAATAAAATGATTATTAATGAAAAACATTAATTTTATTAATGTTATTTATAGATATTGAAGAAAATTCAAAAGATCCCCTTGGCCAAATTTTCAAAACCTGGTTTTACTTCAGTTAAAGCCGTTCTTACGTTCGCTTAAAATCTGCAGTAAAAAACATCCAACCGCGAAATTCCGGCGAAATGTCATCTGTTCTCTCATAGGAGCAAATTATCCAAAATAGTAGGAGAACAGAAAATTTGCAGCAACTAACAAATTAGACGAACAGCTGACACAAATTTTGTTTACATTCAAAAGTATAAAATTGAAAACGTAAGAAAACAAATCCCGAAGTCTTATCCTGACACAGTTCACTGACTAAACGAATAATTACTTACTTCTTATAAGTTTAATTATAACTTCCAAACCATCAAATTCAATTTAGGGATTTGCGTAAATTCCAATCAGCTGTTTTTGATCGGCTGTTTTCTTGTTGGCAAATTGCAGTTGGCAAAAATTTTTTCCAGCAGAAACTAGCAGTATTCCCTCAAAACACTCATGGGCACTGCCTTGCCCGCGGGCAAAGCTCTTTTAAGCTTTCTATATATTTTGTATAGGCGTATACAGAGTAAAAGCTTTCTCTGCCCAACGCTGCCTCAAAATGAAATGTTCGTTTTGCTATCTCAAATTTCCCTACTTTGCAAGTTTTTTGCGTACGCGAACACCAAAAGCTGATAGTTTACATAACTTTCAATAATTATTAGGCACGCGAATGCAATTATTTGCGAACGGTATTTTGACTTTACGAATTTCAATGTAGAGTACAAAGACTCACAGTTATACGTTGTACCAAAAATTGAAAATAGTAGTTGCGTTCCAGGTGCTCACGATATTCATGATTTGCAGTTTTTTTTTTGCACGAAAGCATTCCAGGTGCCAAAAGCCCTGTAAGTCAAACCACTTTTGGCGAGAGTAACTTGCTCTCTCTCTCTCAGTCAGAAGTTGCAGGTTTCAATCCGAAGTTTTTCTTCCTGAAAGTTCATGAAAAGTATCAAACGATAGGCAGGGTTGTAAACAAAAATAGAAC